CATGTGTTGATACATATTGTGGGGATATATTTTCTGAGTACCAACACGTGGCAAGGTGACGCCGTCGTGTCAGCCGAGGTGCCACGTGTCTTGGTCGTTGTGCCGAGGTCATCTCGGTTAGGCCGAGGTTGCCTCCGAAGATATCGGAATCCGAGATAAGCGGATAAGGGACAAGAGTCCTAGAATGATAAGGGAACTCAACTTGGATATAGACAAGAGTCCTAGATTGGGAGAAGACTTCAGTTTGGGTAAAGATAAGACTCTTAGAGAGTTTATCCTAATTCCACCGGGAGTCCCAGATTAGCAGTAATCCTAAATCCATTAGGGCCAGGCTCCTTTTGGGACTAGGATTGTATTGGCTATAAACGAGAGGCACCCCCATGGGTCTAAGGTATGCTTTTGATACTCAAGCTTGTAAGTTTAGTACTTGATTTATCTTTGAAAGATATACTGACTTGATCGTCGGAGTGCCCCCGGGTGGTCGAAACCACCGCGGGATTCTTATATTTCTATTACAGGTCAGTCAGGTGCCATCTATTCTGCTAGTGCTCTCCAGCTAGTTACTAAGCGGGCAGTGTGGTCGGAAAATCACCCGCACATTTTCCTTTTGATAGAGATATGAAACGAGTGGATTGTATAGACTGTTAGAGAATTAGGGAGTTCACAAGCTCACAATAATACTGGCTTAATCCATTAGGAAGAAATCTAGAGTCCACAAATACCACATCAATGCCCAATATATTATTATTTGAAACTCATACCCACTTAAAAACTTAAACCTATAAGTGGAGAGCCTATATAATATATATTAAAACTCATCTCTTTTTACACTTTATCCAATGTGGGACTTTACCTTTACACATGTTCCAACAATCTTTTGATCATGTGTGAACCAAACATTGGGCCTCTCCATACTCCCCATCAAGTCTTGATCTATCATCAATAAATTCATCGTAGATCATTATACTCCCCCTTAATCTTGATCTATAACTCTCCAACATCGAGTCTAGTTTAGGCCACCTGCACACTCTCTATCATGAGCCTCCATACTCCATTGAAAGCCACCTTATAGCAGTCCAATCTTACTACGTGCACCAAGAATTTTCTTTACTCCATCAAAAGCTATTATCGATTTTTCTTACTCCATCAAAAGTTTTTGTGCAAGACCAAGCCCACTAACATCAATGCTTCAGAAGAGTCTGTCCATAGATCATTTGTCATCGGCTCTGATACTATTTGTTAGAGAATTAGAGAGCTCACAAGTGCACAGTAATACCAGCTCAATCCATTAGGGAGAAACTCTATAGCCTACAAATACCACATTAAGGCCAAACATATTATTATTTGGAACTCATACCCACTTGAAAACTTAAACCTATAAGTGGAGAGCCTATTTGATGTATATTAAGACAGGTTCAATTTGTCTCCAATTGGAGATCAAGACTGACCCGTCTAGTCCTATTCGTGGGCCTACTTTTGGGCCCCTCTTCGATGATCCAAACCGTTCATATTTTAAGATTCGTTGAGTACATTATCCCTGTACAAAATTAAGTCAATCGGATAACGGCAACTATGTATCCAAATCAATTTTATATATAAAAAAATAGATGGTGAAAAAATAAATGGTTCATAAAAAATTGATTCGAACACTTTAGTTGTCGTTATCTAATCAATTTGATTTTTTACAAATATAATTTATTCGACAAACCCTAAAATGTGAACAGTTTGAATTATCGAAGTGAGATCAAAAAGTGGACCGATGGACCGGACTGAACAGTTTAGTCTTAATCTCCAACTAGAGACAACCTAGACCTTATTAAGACTCATCTATTTTCACTCTTTATCTGATATGAGACTTTACTTTCACACGTATTTTAGCATGGACAAAAATATGCGACCTGTCACACACATTTATCATGCTATTAAACAATACTAAAGACTTTCAAAAAAACACAACTGCCACTCACATGTGATTGATCTAAGAAGAAAAGAAAGAAAAAAAAAGACAAAAAAACAAAAATACATAATTAGTCCACGTCATTTTAAAAGTCATAAAAGTCCCAAACTTTAGAGTCCCAACCATTTTTGTCATGTTATTATCCCATGATTTTCTCGTGTCAGCCATTCACGCCCTTAAAAAAAAAAAAAAAAAAGAAAGAAAATTCAGTCATACAAGCCCGGACCTGCCGGGTCATGTTTGAATGGAAAATCAGCAAATGCGCAGAGTATGCTATCTCAGGTGTAATATCTTACGCAAATAAAAAAAAGAAAAGAAAAGAAAAAGTGTGTGATATCTTATCAAAAAATATATGTATATATATATTATAACAAATAAATTTGAGAAATTTTTACTCTCAATGTACTTTTTTCACAATGCATTTTATTTATTTACTTATTTATTGTTTAAAATTATTCAATTTTTAAAATGATAGGAAAATATGTAAAGACTTCTATTCAAAAAGCAAGACAGATAAAAAGAAGTGTTAGAGATAATACATTTCATTCTAATTCCATTTACTAAAAAGGAAGGCTCTGTTGACCACCTGAAGAGATTTCTATAATTATTTGGGATAATTACTAGCTTGTCTTACCGATCTAATAACTTATTTACTCATGAGTATTGAGTGAAAAATTCATTGACGTATAAGTCCTGTGAATGAGAAATTTATCAGTGTAATGCTTTTTTTTTTCTTTTTTTTTTTTTGGGTATTAAAAAGTTTAGATGAGGGAAGACTACCCCAACCTAGGGTCAGGCCAAACCGCAGGGACTTACATTGGATTTATTGATTGCCCACCAAGAAAGACTATTGACAGTAGGAATCGAACCTAAGCCGTGAAGGTGAAAAATCTAGACTATCCCAGTCCAGGATCAGGCCAAGCCGCAAGTTTTAACTTTAGGGAGGACTTACATTAGATTTATTGATTGTCCACCAAGAAAGACTGTTGGCAGTAGGAATCGAACCTAAGACGTAAAGGTGAAAAATCTGATCCTCACTAACTCAACCAACCTTTGTTGGCAGTAATGTATTCACTTATATATGTAGTTGTGAGCTTTATTTGTTAGATTAATAAACTTATCAATGTAGACAGGACAGAACTAGAATTTTATCCTTTAGGGGGCCAAAATCTAGAATAAAAATATTCATTTAATTTATATATTTTTTTTAAATTAAGATTTTTTTTACTGACCAAATTGTATTTTTTATTTTGAAAAACCACTCTCTTAAGCAGTAAGCACTACACAAAAAATAAAAAAATTTCAATTTTTTTTTTTTAAAAAAAAAGAGAGAATAAGATTTTATCACATTTTATTTATCATATAATATAATATTATTGCATTAGTAACAAATCTGAATTATAGAACTCATTATACTAAAGCAAAGAATATATAATATTATAAAAAGAATTAGGCATAGAAATATAATCATCAAAATATAATTGTTCTGTTATGGAGTTAGAAAAGAGAATAAAACACAAGAAGAAAAATAAATAAAATAAAACACAAGAAGAAGGGAAAAACAAAAAGAAGAGAAATTAGAAACATAAAAGTGGATATTAAGGTTGTATTTGATTCATGGATTTGAGTAAGGATTTAGAAAAAGAAATAAAATATGTGTGTGAAATGTAATTATATATTTTGTTTATATTTCACCTATTTTTTCTCTTTTCTTTTCAAATTTCTATTCAAATTCATTAATCAAACACAACGTAAATACTTTTTTCGCAAAGAGTGCTCATGAAATTATTTGAGTTAAAAGAAGAATAAAAAAATAAGAAAGGGGGGTGAAGATTATAAATAAAACATTTGTCAACTGGGGGGCAATACACATACACATGGAAATGGATAAAGAAGTAGCAGAATACACAAAGCAATTGAGCCAAGGCAGGGGGGCATGGCACCATACCGTCTACACTTGGGTCCATCCTGAATGTAGATCAGAAATTTATTATTCAGATAGTTGTTTATGTATTAACAGGATTTATTAGTAAATAAGCCCAATCTATAGAATTGAGTTAGCAAAAGAGGTTAACCTTAATTTTTTGAGCTAGAAAATAAGATTTATGCAGTTTATAGAAGAAGAAGAAGAAGCAGAAAAAGCTACAACAAAATATAAGCAAGACGATAGGCATTTTACCTCATTCTCTTTTGTTTAATTTCGTTTAAAGAGTTTTGAAAACTAGACAAATCAATTTCACGAATAGATAGTAATGTTAGAACACATACTACGAACTTATTAAGCAAAATACACAATGATCTCTTAATTAAAAATGTAAAAGAATAATTAATTGAACTAGATCAATGAATTTATCGACTTAAATAATGTCATGTTTGATTTCAAAAAATTGAGTTCACTTTTCAGAAAATAGCTTTTTGTTTTTGTTTTTTTATTTTTAGTAATTTTTTTAAAATATTTTACATTTTTTTTTTGTAGATATACTCAATATAAATTCCTTTAAAAATTATAATATTTATGAAAAAAAAACTTTAAAAATTCAACAAATACAAAAAATATATGTATATTTTCATATTTTATTGTATTCAATAAATTTTTTAAACATTTTTGTGCAATTTTTTTTTTTTTACTTTTTAAGTATATTAAAATAGATCTACAAATTTTTAAAAAAACATTAATTAAAATATCTAAAATACAAATTAAAAATTTTAAAAATTATTTTTAAAAACTCAAAAACAATTTTTTTCTCAATAAGGTGTTGTTTGGCAAGTTGGTTTGTGACTAAAATAGTCACAAAAGACAAAATGGGTTATTTTAGCCACAACAAACAAAACATCACATTTAACCCATAATCATTACACTCTTTTCTCAAAAAAAAAAAGTCAAAAAATCAAAAAATTCTTCTCAAATCAAACTTTTTAACTTAAACTAAAATAACTAAAAAAAAGTCAAAAAAAAATTAAACCAGGCTAAGTCGGTCAAATTTCAAACATTCCCTTCCCTCCTCCCCCAACTACTCTCTCTCTCTTTCTCTCTCTCATGCATTTTTTTTCCATTCCCCTGCTCTATTATTCTAAACCGAGTCAAAATATTCAACCCAAGTCTGCGCCAACTCCACCATCTCTCTCTCTCTCTCTCTCGCCGCTTTTGCACTCAACAAAACTCTCTCGCTCTCTCCCTCTCTGTATTGTTTGACTATGGAGATACAAGAGGTGCAATCGTCGTCCTCCTCCTCCTCATCATCAAGAGAAGAAGAAGTGAAGCTAGCTGCGATTGCAATCAGCCTCAACATACGGTTGAGATCAGCCGACATGCCTCCCACTATGCAAGAGCGTGCTCTGCGTTACACCAGATCACTCCTCGATTCATCCTCCTCCTCCTCCAATCGCCGCCCTAGTCCCACCCTCCTTGCTCGCTCCCTCAAAAAGGTCCCTCCCTCCATCTCCCATTTCACTTATACATACATACATATTACACTCACTCTCTCTCTCTCTTTCTCCCTCTCTTTCTCTCTACATATATATGTATATATAGCAATGCTATTCACACATAAACCAAATATAAATATATTCTTTTTTTATTTGATTTATTTATGGCATTTACAATCACATTAATGCTTAGGAGATTTGGAAAATATTTGAAATGGAAATGTAAAAAATATGTAAATATGTGAATAAAATATATTAATATTTTATCTAATTTTACATATATATATATATATATATTTCAAATCCCTCCATAATTTTTTAAGTCAAACCTAGCGAGTTTTGATTGACACACATGCATAAAAATAAAAAATAAAGTCGAACTCGCTTTATTGTAATTTCTTGTGACTTTAGATTTTTTTTATTTTTTATTTTCTGCCTGTTATTTTGATTTTGGGATTGATAGTTTTTTTTAAGTAAATTATATTGACCTCTTTTGAGATTTAAAAAAAATAAATAAGTTTTATCATTTTAACATAATTACACTGATTTTATTTTTAATACTAAAATTAAATACATTAAAACTAATTCAGATGGTACAAAATATAATAATAAAAACGTAAATTATATATTTTGTGTAAAAGAGATAATAATATCATTTTTTTTCATCTATATAATTAACAAATTAGTTATAAAATGAGACTACTAGCTCATTTGAAAATTAATTATTTTAGTTAATTATTTATTTATTTTTTATAAAAAGATACATAGAGAGTGGGTCCAGTATACATGAATTAAAATAGTGAATAAAAATAAAATAGTCAGTCGCATCACTTTTTCTATTTTTTTATCTGTTTTGGTAAAAAAATTAAAATAGTCAGTTCTCAAATAAAATATTTTGACTCTTTTAACTATTTCAATCAAAAATTCACCACCCCAAACCGGACTTAAATATTATGTGAATTAAAATTTAAAAAAAAATTTAATATAATAATGTTAAAAATTGAAAGACATACTAATTTTCTCTAAATCCTAAAAAGATCTGTGATGTAGGAGTATTTATATTTATTTATTTGGGGTTGGTGCAGGAATTTGACTTGAGGTATGGGCCGGCGTGGCACTGTGTGGTGGGGAAGAGTTTCGGATCGTTTGTGACTCACTCACCAGGTGGGTTTGTCTATTTCTCTCTGGACTCACTCTGTTTCCTTCTCTTCAAAACAGAGGTCCATTTGGTCACCGACCCACCTGCCAAACCAGAGTAGCCAAAAACAGAGACCCTTTTAGGGAATACAAAATTGCATTTTAATAGAGATAATTCAAAAATATAGTTGCAATTTTTTGGAACTCTACAAAAATACAATTATTTTGAATATTACCGAGTGAAATGCAATTTCTCTGTACAATTATGTAAAACAGAGTAGCTTTTCAGGGAATGCAATTATGGAAACAAAAGCATGTGTGACAAAGAAGGCTAGATTGTAATCATTTGACATGTGAAATGGAAACCCATTATTGTTACCTTATGATTATGTGTATTCATCCATGAATGCACACATACACGCAAACTCAAAACATAAAAAAACACACAGAGATCATCATTGACTGGTTGTTTGGTAGGTGCATTTTAGCCATAAAGGATTGTCATTGTGTCCTGTGTCTGTAAATTTACAATTCCCCAAACTGAGAATTTCTATGTTTTGGTACGTAGGGGGTTTGGTTGGGTGTGGTCCTTAGCAATCTCCTGACCTCTATTCTTTTGGGGAAATATCCTATCAGAAGCAAAATGACACATAAATTGTTTGGTTTATTTTTGGGAGAATTATTTTTAAAAAAAAAATTAGGGAGAGAGTTTAGAAATTTTTTTGGTTTGTTTGGTTGTATATTTTGAGAGAGTTATTTTTTTGGGAGTTTGGGATGATTTGATATTTTGGGAAAATTTGAGTAGATGTGTGTGAGAGAAAAAGTGATTGAGAAGGAGAGAGGAGAGAGGAGAGAGGAGAGAGAAAAAGTGATTGATTGATATATAAAAGAAAGAAAGTGATTTTGAAATTTTTTTGAGAAAAACTCAACCAAATAGTTTTTAAAATTTTTTTTCTAAAACTCATCTCTCAAATACAAACCAAACATATTTGCCTTCCTTTGGTTTACTTTTTGAAAAAAAATATATATTAAATTGTATTTTGAAAGATAAGTTGTTGAAAAGAATTTTGAAAATTGAAAATTTATTTGATTATGAGTTTGAAAATAATTTTAGAATGATTTGTTATTTTTATTTTATCTTTTTGTAGTTGAATATATGGGTATAAGAGAAAATTTGATTGATTAATGTGTATAATGTGAGAGTATAAATGAGGAGAGAGAAAAAGGTGATCAATTGATTTATTAAAAAAAATTGACGAGAGAAAAATAATTTAAAAAATTGACAAATCAAAATATGTTTCTTGATTTTTTGATCCAAATGTTAATTTAAAAAACTAACCAAATTTAGGTACATATCTTGATTGTGTTTGATGCAAAACAAAATACATTTAAGAATAAAATTGAAAAGTGAATTATAAATCACCCGGTATAAAATATGAATTACATTTTGAAAATTCATTCCATCCATTGAAGTTTTTAATTTAATGACAAATAACCATTTTATTAATAAATTATTAAGTTAATTAACAGTTTTTTATGATTTCAAAAATTTTATTTCAATTAATAATTTATGTAATTTTGTTATGGGCAAATTATGCCGGTAGTCACTGTATTAAGTGGCATATATCATACTTTTAGAGATAAAATTATAAACTTGTTCAATTTAGTAAGTTAATCTCAACTAATTTAATGAAATTTTTTTGTCAAAAATACTAACAATATTATTAATTAGACTAACGCCTCGTTTGGGAACCTTCATTTTTAGCAAAAAAAGTCAAAAAGTTACTAACTTAGCCAAAAAACCAACAACCCATACCAAAAAGTCAAAGATTCTCTTTTCTCTACTTTTTGCACATCTTTTCGTAAAAAGTCAAAAAGTCATCCCAAACATACTAATTTTTTTTAACTCATATTTTAGCCAAATAACCAAAAATTACTAAATTAGCCTGTTTCCAAACGAGGCCTAAATTGACACGAAATATATAATTAAGGGTCAAAATTGAAACATTTGAAAGTGTGAAGATTAAAATGACACATTAGACAAAATATAGAGACTATCATTGTAATTTATCCTTTTATTATCGTATAGAAGAATAATTAGAAATTTTATTTTTCAATTAATTTTGTTAAATAAAAAATTATGACAAAGAAATATTTATAAAATTTTAAATCATAAAAGGACAATTTATATTTTAAGTAAATTTTAAAACATGTATACATAAGTTATTCAAAAAGTAAAATGTATTTAATGAGTAGTTAAAGGGGTAATCTCTGGCAAGAGGAGTAGGTGTAATAGAGAAGTGGAAATGAAAAATTTATTTTTAAAATAAGGTCGCAACTTGTACTCTATTTTGAAAACAAGTGAACTAACCGAATAGACCTCTACTTATAATTTTCTAGCTTCGAATGTCACGTTTGATTGAGAATTTAGAAAGAGATTGGATTAGTAATCCACAACCCCACTGAAAAAATAATTGTTTGCGAAACAATCTTATGGAACTATCCATCTCCACAACAGTACAATAGTGTGTTTAGCATTACCCACTTAGAAAATATTACTTTGTACATGATAAGGATTTTTACGTAATTTTATAATTTTAATCATAATTAACTAATATCACACATTGGTACACAAATAGATATGTTTTATCTTATATCTCTAACGTATTACTACTATAATTAATAATTTTATCATTCAATCTCATCATCCTCCTAATCCCGCTAAATTTTTTAATCCGACAACAAATTATGACCAAAAATTTTGTTGAAACTTGGAAAAGAAAAGACACAGAAAACCAAAAGGAAAATTGGTCCCCCCCCCCCCCCCCAAAAAAAAAACATAAAAAAAAAAAAAAGAGACCAATTCTCATTTCCTTTCCCCAACCAAATTGTAAAACCAAAACACAGCACAAGAGTTTCATTAAATGCTCTGATTTCTGCTTTCTTTAGTCAAAGCACAATGCTAACACAAAACCCTACGTCCCATTTCCCACGAACCTCTGCAAATATAAACATAGGAAGATAGTTTTGTCTCAAAGATCATATGATTTTGTAAATATGACCTAGGTTCTCTACATGACCTTCCATTTTTTAAACTCAAATCAGTTGATAAAAAGAATTTGCTACCTCAGTCATATTATGCTTTACTCTGTTATACATAAATTCAAGTGCCATGAAAAATTTAAAAACAAAAACTTTGCAATGCAATCATCAGATAATAAAAAACAATGCCATGGAAGTACTGAATCCATAAACTGAGAATCTTTCCACAAACTTTCATAGTACATCAGCCTATATTTCAATTCTCTCATAAATAATAAACATAATCACAACATCTATAAATGAACCAAAAAACAAAAAAACAACTACTAGGCATAATATGCATCAATGAAGATCTTGAAGCTAGGGTTACAGGCATAGCACATCTTTTAACCTTTGTAATAAAAACAGGATTTGATACAGTAGATTTTAGTGAAGTAATTTTATAGAACAAGACAGAGCTCTAAATGAAGAAGAACGTGCCACTGATTTCTAAGTGAAATGAATTAAAAGTAGACTTCTAGCAGAAAATACCAGATTATATTCAACGTGCCTCGTTGCATTTTTGCCAGAACTAAGACAGGTTTCGTTCGCGCATAAACTGTTCTAATCTTTTCAACATCTTCCTGGGATGTCAACACCATGAGCTTCATGGTCAACCTTTATGACCTGCAAGAAAAGAAACACATGAACCTCTGGATCAACTTCCATTCTCCATCTTTCTAATATTCAATTCTCGGGAGTTTGTAATATTCACAGTTCACATAATAAACAAACATAATGTCAAGAAAATGAGCAAAGGTCACTGGAAACAAGACGACCTTTTCATTTCCCATCTGAACTGCAAATGAATGTTTTATGGAAGCAGAAACAAAAAAATGCATGATAAATAGAACAAAGCAAATGCTTTCAATATATACATGAGAATATGATATGACCGCCAGAAGAAATAGACAACTAAGTAAGAAATTTGGGAAGCAAAAAGGTCTAAGAAAGCAGATAAAGACACAAAACTTTAGGTGAGAAGATTGAAGAAATCTAGAAAGCAGTGTTAGTTAATTTTATTATACGAAAGGGCTCGAGAAAGCTTATTCAGAACTGCATTGTTTCACTAATGTTTTCTATAACAATTCAAGCAGCAATTCCCATCCCTGTTCGTACCATTTCCTAAATAATTCCAATCAAATTTTTTAGAAAACTCATTTCAACCAGGGACAGGTTACTAATATGGTCCAAAACACAACCCAGTGTTCAAATTGAATGACCAAAATAACACTTTTTTATTCAGGTGAATGGACATTTTTTATGGCTTAGGTTCTGAATGCTCCAATGACTACAAATAGTATGTTGGAACATTTGTTATACGTGGGAACTTGAATAATGATAAACAAATGCTAATTTCTCAGCAGAATCAGGCGCGCTTGAGTTCCACAGATATTTTACCACCTATTAGGGGCACAAGTTAGAAGAAGATATATCAGCTCAAGATTTTACCAATTGGTAATAGAAAGAGGTCATTGACCTTACTATAAAAGCCTGAGGCTGTGTTTGGTTGAAGGATTTAGAGAGGGATTTGGAAAAAAGAAAGGAAAAAGGTGTGGTGAAACTAGGTGAAATGCAAATATATTTTATTCATATTTTCACATACCTTTTCCTTTTCCCTTTCCAAATTCCTTCCCAAAATCTCCATCCAAACACAGCGTAAAGAAAACAAATAAGGTTTTTATAGTTACTAGTAGAACCATGTTCTAAATCTTTGCATATCAATGCTTGTAACAACCATAGAACAATAAAAACCAGCTTTAGCAAGAAATTGGAAAACTAATAACTATTCCACGTCCAAAAACAAAAAGAAATTGGGAAAAAAGGAAATCAGTTATCGGTTAACAAATAAAGAATGGAAGCAATTTTAAACAGACTTCATCTTATAGCCATTCTTTCAGGACCTTTCAGCTGTTCCAGAATTCTCCAGTTGGCCAGTGGAGTGGGCGGTTAGCTCTTTGATATATTTGAGGAACTTCGAATCGTGCTCGTGCCAATTATTAGAGGAAAAAATATACATTCTTTACTCAATAGTGTCATACCAATATTGCGAAATAAATAACACAGCAACCACAAAAAGAATAAAAGGGAAAGAAAAAATACATATCCTTTATAGGAAATATTTCACTTAGTACTGAATCCCAAGATGAAGCAAATATGGGAACCGCGGCGATTGACTTCCCGACCCTGTATTTAGCATGTACATCCTCAGTTTTA